CCAGCGTATTACACACACACACACAAATACATACATAAACACATATGTTAGTATTTGAGCGTAATTTTATTTTCATTACACATTCTAATTTATTATTACTAAGGTTGAGAGTAATTTAATTTCATAGGTAGTTAAGAGCAATAATGTAATTCTAGGAAAAATCTTGTAATGTAAATTAAAACGCTGTAAGTGTATCGATAGGTAGGTTAATTGTTAAGTTTTACATTATCATTATTAAGTTGGAGCCCAAGGCATTACGTAGGTGGTGGGGTGGGTGCCGAAAGGCCAATGAATTGGGCTCTTGAGTTTTGTAATTTTAGGTAAGCTAGGACCGTAATGTAATGAATAGGTAGGTTAAGGCTACGTTGTAACACATACTCATTAATAGATTTAGGGTTTAAGTTTTATATTATTATTACTAAGTTGGAGCCCAAGGCATTACGTAGGTGGTGGGGTGGGTGCCGAAAGGCCAATGAATTGGGCTCTTGAGTTTTGTAATTTTAGGTAAGCTAGGGCTTAATTGTAATGAATAGGTAAGTTGAGGGTACGATAGCCGATAGACTCTGAATTTCGAAGTCTCTTGTCAGAGTTAAGCCTTGGCGGCCAGTGGTGAACCGGCAATGGTTTACTATCCGGACGGCAATGGTTTACTATCTGCACGGTAATGATTTACTATGCGGCATGACCATAGTCTACTACCCGCACGGCTTCCGGACGGCAAATGGTTTACTATCCGCAAGGCAGTAGTCTACTATCCGCACGGCAATGGTTTACTATCCGGTGCCCTGGTTGTCGGTGAACCTCTGTGCAAGGAGGGAGAATGAAGGGGAACTTTCGACTATCGTACCATTAACAATTTATTATAGATTAGTTAAGGTAATTGAATAGGTAGATAGGATTATTTTTATTAAGCAATTTAAGATGCAGGCACCGCTAAGCTTTCTAATGAGAATTTTCTCTTTCTTCATTCCACGGGCTGTGTTTCAACAACAATCTCGCACAAAGGACTGGCACCAGTTTTGGAGGACAACGCAGGAAACGGAAGGCACTCATCATTTTGCCTTTTTCGAATGGACGACGGTAAGTTTTTTTTACATTTTACTCTTTCTTATTTTCAAATATTATTTATTTGCCATTATTTCCATTTTATAATTTTTTGCTTCTAAGATTCTAACATTCATTTACTACTAAGCTAATAAAAATAACTTGTCTACAGACTGATGAGAGGTGGGCAGTGGTGGGCGTCAGCACGTTTCAGATGGTGGTCTCATGATGATCGTTCCGATAACAACTCGAAGAAAACAACAACGACGATTTTTTAAGTATGGTTTAGTTTCGTTGTTTTTATTTTTTTCATTCATTCATTTTGTCACACAATCTTTCATTCATCCATTAATTGACTCATTCTATTCATTCATTGAATCATAGATTGGTTAATTAATTCATTCAATCACTCAATCATTCGCTCAATCATTTATTCGTTTGTTCTTTCGTTTTAACATTCATTTACTACTAGGCCAATAAAAAAAATTTGTCTACAAAATGATCAGAGGTGGGTTGTGGTGGGAGTCAGCACGTTTCATAATGGTAATCTCATGGTAAGATAAGTTGCTTCTTACTTTTTTTCAATGGCTTGTTTTTTATTTAAAAAATTAACTTTTTCTTTCAATTTTGTTTTTCATTTCCTCGGTGCGTGTCAGATGATGGTCGGTGCAATGGAGGTTCGTCCGTAGTGGGT